AGGAAGGAAGGAAGGAAGGAAGGAAGGAAGGAAGGAAGGAAGGAAGGAAGGAAGGAAGGAGCATTCACTTTTGTTTGAGGGCTGGAAGCAGCTATGTAAGTGAGAGAACAGAGAGAGAATGTCTCACAGCTCCTGGGGACAGCGTCCCTCTAACGGAGCAGACAGACACAGGAGCTGGTGTGTGTGACCTTCAGACTGTCAATCTATGGAGAACCACTCTGTGTAGTCTCTTTTTCATCAACCATTTGGGTTCTTGGGTGCTGGTCCCATGTCCCTGGATGCCCTGCAGGGACAAATGATATGCCAGCCCACATGGGTGTGCATCTCACAAACACCACCCAGAAAGGCCAGGCTTATGCTGTCTTTGTTGACAGCTGGGCTGTGACTTACGTTCTGGGAACCTAAGAGACTCAATATATAATCACCCGTTAAATAAACATGTACATTGCAGAGAAACAGGTGACATACCCACCATCCTATCCGGGAAGAGAACTCTCTAGAAGTGCAGTGTGCATAAAATGACAGCAGCACTCCTTAGGGTAGGTGACAAGAAGTTCCCTTGGAAAACTGTGTCAGCATCTCAGTACAACTGAGAACAGACTGACCTTCCCCCAGGCTCGTGAAGTGTCACCTGGCTGTTCCCAAGAAGGTGTGACCCTGAAAGTTCTGGGGTGAATGTGGACACCTTCAGGCTCGCCATGCCCGGAACGAATAGCTTCCCCAGCACCACGCCTGTTCACAGGAGCACACTGTTCCGTTAGCAGTTTGTGCTCGGTAGGAAAGAAGGCAAGGCAGGCGAATTCGTCCTTGCCAAAACTGCAAATGCGACACTCCGCAAGCAAGACACTGTCAGGAGCAGTTGCTAATTTATTTTAAGTGCCCCCTGAGTTTTTAATTTATCTGGGAAAAAAAAATAAATAGATAAATCCGAGGCTCTCCCTGCCAACCCAGCCCAGCGCTGGGTCTGCAGTGGCAGTGGAGGTTGGCGGGTGACAGCGACTGCCTGGGAGAGAGGTGTCAGAGCGTCCAGCCAAGGAGGCGGGGCGGGTGAGCGCCCATCCGGGTTGCATTAGAAGTGGATGTACATCGCATTTGTACAGAGCTGACCTTTCATTTTCCTAACTTGGCTCGAGACACACATACGAAAAGAAAAGGGAGGAAAAAAATCTTTCTTCAGATAGTCTGCAATTCCAAACAGTACTGCAGGCTTCTCCAAGCCCGGATTCCACAGCAAGCTTGGAATGCAATCAGTCTAGTTTAGAAACTCATTATCCAGAGTGGGGAGCCCAGCGAATATTACCGTTTCATAAATATGCAGATTTTGTTTATTTAAACATTTTTTATGACACTTTGTGTTTTCCTAAATTGGGTCATCATTTTAATATAATTGGAATCTGATATGTGTCCTGTTTTCTTTGAAAGCCATCTGGTTCGTTTTTTTGACTTTCAGAGACCAAATTATTTGTGGCAATATCAGGCCTTGTGGTGGCTCCTTAGGAACCAAAGCGTAGCTCGAGAGCATTGAGTGCAGGAGGTCCAAAGCTGTGTTGGGAGGCTCCTTGCTTCCCACCTCCATGAAGGTGGACAGTGAAGAAGGTCTCTGTGCCATGAAGATCTGGCAGATCCCTGGAAGCCACGTTCTTCACCTGAGGAGAAAATGGAGTTGCTCCCTCAGGCACCATCTTGGATGGACCGCTGATGGCCAGTGGTTACCTGTATGGTTAAGATGACAGGCCCATTCCTGTGTAGGGCACGTCTACCCGCTCTATCCCGATCGTAAGTTCCCTGGGAGAACTCCCCTGTTTTGGACCTTTGTCTTTCGCAGCACTGTTT